TCTCTTCCCACCTTTCTTTTCCCAGCCCTGGTGGCTGCCATGCAGACGGAGAGAGCCCCCCATGTATTATGTGGGCTGGGTGGCTAGATCCCATCCTGCAAAGTTATCTCGGGAAAATAGAGGGAAAAGCCTGGATTCTTCTTCATTATGGGGAATCAGGGTGATTACCATGATCAGAAAAAAACCCCCACCCTTGTGAGGGAGCAAGGTGAGATGAAGGAAACAGTGGGAAGGGGGAAGAGTGTTAGCTTTTGAGTTAGAAATGCTCCAGCGACTCACATTTCCTTTTTTCCTACACATGTGAAGGGCAGCAATCCCAATGCGCAGTGCAACAAGAGGAACACATTTTATTGAATTTCTGCATGCAGAGGTATCTGTCAATCCAAGTTTAAATCACTTAGTGTTCAGCACAAGCTCTCGGAGTCCCTGGTGACGTCAAAAATTAGGTTTTCTGCACTGGATTAGCATCTGGTAGGGTTTCCGTGGTCCAGAATTGTCCAAAAATCCAATGCTGAACCGCTGAGGTAGGTTGCACAAAGCTTTACCCCAGTAGTTCAGCATGTTTTCTGGATGTCCCACATCCAGAGGGAGTTGAACAATGACTTATTTCAGTATTTGGCTGAAATAAGAGCTATGTGGTAGTTTCTTGGTGGCTGTGCATGAGCTATACGTGAGCCATACGCTCCGCGAGCTGCTCGCTGTCTTCCCTGTTGCTGCAGGGAAGAGACTGTGAAGGTTTTTTGCTGCATTTCTCCTTCCCTGTAGGAATCTTCACTTCCCGTATTAAAGTTTGTTCTTGGCATTGTCTGAAAATAGTTCATCACTGCAAATAATAGTTATAGCCACCAGAGATGCATAAGTACACTTTGAAGTGAGCGAATCAATAATACGGTTTTGTATTTTTGTTTTGCTGTGTGAATTTATCGCCCTTTTCCATATCTCCATAGAGTGCCTAGCAGTAGGATTGCTAAAATTGCCTCCATCCCTGTTCTGCAGCTAAAATAAATGTAAGAGACAAATGTATCTATAGAAATGTATATTGGTAAAGAACTAGAGGGATACCATGAAGGAGATTTTTTTTTTTTTTACAGCAGTGCAGTAGTCCCCAGACCAAAGTTTGCAGGAAGACGGTGGACAGAAGCCTCTGGGCTTATTGCATGGCACTTTCCTGGCTTTTATCTCCTGTTTTCCATGGGTGCAGGTATACCGTGAAAGGGAAAACTTTCTGAGACATGTTCTAAGAAGTGATCCGGGTGATCTGCAGAGGTTTGGAAGTCCTGGAGGAATACAGCCATGCGTGGCACAATAGCATGTCCCAGAGCACAACCCAGCACAGGAAAAACATATGATTTGTAGGATTTTTAAGAACTGCTGATCCTGGGTAGGTTCCAAGGTATATTTATGTATTATAAAATGGTAATGTTATCAATGAGATAGTGCTCTGTATTTCCTGGAGCTATATAGGCATTTTTTTGTTTAATAACATAGGATCTTGTTGAACACAACCTTGGTGCATCATTACGGTGACATGCAAAAGAAGCTCACCCCTCCATTTGCAGCTTTATAAGGTGACAAGAGAAATCTTTAATAAGCCACAAGTAGAGTATCATAAAAAGTGTTTCACACCTGCCCCCCCCTTCCCACACTTTGTTGGCAGCCCAGCAGTGTATTGAATTTAACACACGTTTACCTGCGGTGAGCCGGTATTTTCAGAGGATCAATGCTTAACAGCAGGACTGTACTACAGTTCATCGTAAAATTACCATGTGAGTGGGTTCAGCCTTTGAAGTGATTTTTCCAAGGTTCTACCAAGCAAGAAAGAGAGAATCCAGGCGTCCTGTCTCTGCTATAAGCAACCTGAAGGGCGCAGCTTTTGCAAATACGAGGGTTAATGTTGGTTGTCATTCCTTGTGGGTATTTATTGCCGACAGCAGCATCATAATTCTGCCTGGTAAGGTAATGCTAATTCCAGACTGTAGCCTTTGCAAAAATGATGGCAGAGAGAGAGGAATTTCAGGAAATATTTAAATAAGTGAAGTCGCTGGCACAATGGAGACTGGCAGCTCCATCTAGAGCACTTCATTTTCTTTTTTTTCTTTTTCAGATTTGTCTTTCATTTGTTTCTCCGGTCCCTCTATTTCAGCAGTGCCTGATACACGGACAGTGCGTTAGCACGCCTTAATATTGAACAATTTCTGCTTGTTGTTAGTTATACATCATTTAGGGCTGTGATCATAAATTGTTCAATCACAAGGTTTAGTCAAAGCTAACATTCTTTACTGATGTCTTTTCCCAAGGGTGTTGAAAATTCGATTGTTCAAAGTGCAAATATGGTTTAGCAATCCCTTCCAAGAACCATTTATCAGAAATCCAAAGGAGGTAATATATAAAAGCGGGATAGGAAACCTGCACATTAAATGGGATTTACCAGCCAAAGCCTTTGGAACTGCTTTCCTGTGAATGACTGGAATGGAGCAGAACAAAGTCAATTACTGACTGTAATTAAGGAATGGATGCATTTAAACTGTAGAGAGCAGTAGCAGTCTTCTTGAAACTGTCTAGTTACTCTGAAGATTAGTCTGAGGAAAGAAAGAAAAGGACTTGAACTACATCTTACAGAAAGTATATTTTAAATGAATACTCTTCCCTCCGTTCTATGATCTGTTCTTACACAGATTTGCTCTGATAATATATGACTATCGAAATGACACATTCAGACAAAGAAACTTTCAACATGTATTTTGCTTTGGTTTTGTTAGCAATGGAGTATCTCTTTCGCGTATCATACAGTGCAAATGTTTATGCAGTGCTGGATACTTGTATTTTAATAAAGCCTGAATTTACTGAACGGAAGACTGAACTATGTTGTGTCCTTTTTAAGCCTTCAAAATACAGTAAATCTAATTATATATGTTGCTCTTACTTTCAAAATGTTATTCCATTCTATAATTTTAATAATGATTTGTTTATACTCAGAGAGAGGCATTAGATTGAATTGTTGCCTATGTTTAGTCTAATTCATATCTGCATGTATACATTAATAAATTGTGATATAATATGATACGTTTCTAACCCAAACTTTACGGCGTGACCCGGGTACAGAACTGGAGGTCAGCTCCTTCAACTGCTCACCTTAAGTTGAATTCTTACTTCTTTTTTTTTTTAACTTTTGATAAAGGGAACGGTGAGTGTGTGAGTAGCAATTAACATTATGACTGTGGACTAATAAGTGAATTAAAATTTCCCCAATAAATAACTCTCCCATACGCGCAGGGAACAATGGGGTGGCTGGAGGTCCGCTCCTGACGGGCGCGGATGGGACGGGATGGGACGAACATCTGCAGCCAGGCAGCCTCCGAGCCCGCGCCGGGGGACCATTCCCACATTCTCCGCGGCGCTCTCACAGGATGTCTCCGCTGGAGCTGCGCTGATGGGATTTTCCTTAATGCTGATGACTTTGGAAACCTTCCTTACAGGCATTTCCTCAATAACGGGAGGGTTATAGAACAATTAATAAAACATTAAACTGTTTTGTCTTTTTTTTTTTTTTTTTTTTTCTCCCGGTAGTATTTCAGTTTTAAGAAAGATGCAGGGACTACCCAGGCTGGTGAGGAGCTGTTTTTCCTTTTATGCTTTAATAAAAACTCTTGACATGGGGCAGATGCAGTGAAACAGTAGCACTTCAGGTTGATGGATTTACACAAATAGGCTGTGCCAGGTCTTAACGGCTTTGCTCTGCTTTTCCTTACGCTTTGGTCAGAGGGAATTCTCCGTTGTCCACTGTGTTCATCTATTCCCTGAGAAAGACCTGGAAAGGTTTCGGTCCGACCCCAAAGAGAATCCCAACGTGCAGACTAAACCCGCATCCCCAGAACACTGAAACACGGGCGTGCGGTACCCACGTGCGGGTGCAAAACAACTCTTAGCAACAAAACAAAACAGAAGAAAAAAGCTTTGGTTTCAGAGCTGAGAGGATCTGGGCTGGCTTGGAGCATGGGCAGGCTGAGCGACGTGGTGGAGATGTAACCCTCCATTCGCTTGTCTGCAAACACGCAGAACTGCTGTGCCCTGGATCGTGCTCCGTGGCCACATGCACCAGGGATCCACTGAATAATCCTGGGGCAAAGTACTGCACAGCTTTGTGCCTCAGTTTTGCCATCTGTAAAATGGTCATTTTCACCTGCAGTGTAAAATACCTGGAGATCTGCTCTGGTGAAAAGATACGTATGTAAAAAAAAAAAAAAAAAAGTGATGCATCATTATTATCGTGGTGGTTTACAGAAGTTCAGACCAACGGAATATGCATGCATATTTCCACCAAATATTGTTAGGCAGTGAAACAGCATTATCAGGGGAATGAATATTCTTTTGATAAATATTCCCAGTGAGTGGGTCAAAAATGTAAATCGACTTCTATTCAGACAAACTGGGGATTTTTTTTCATGATAAATGGGCTCCTAATTACTCTGCTACAGCCATCTTTGATGGTAATTTTTTTTTAATGTGAAAAAGAGTGACATTATTAATTTTACCAGAATGCTTGGACGTGGACTCTAGAATCACAGGTGTATAATAAATGTGTACATTTGAGAATGGAGGTACCAAATATAAAAATAATAATACCAAAATAAAAATGGAAACTAAAATAAACACAGGAATTAATATATTGCATTTATTTCTTTTCTGGGTGCTTTGATCTACATTTGAACTGTGACTTGGAACACCGGCTTTCCTGGCTTTTCTTAACTTCTGTCACATTCCCGTTATTTTTGCACTATTTGTGTTTGGTGGTTGCATCGCTGAGACAATATCTCGTTTGTTGTGACATACTCAAAACAGTTTTCAGACAGAGGTTCAAAACTCCTCAGTAACTCAGCACTCCAGGAGATAATTCTTGATACAAAAGAAAAGCATTTGGGTGCGTGGGAGAGAAAAAAAAGAAGAAAATCATCTGTCTGGTGTGTGCTTTACTTACCTGTCTGTGCCCATGTCCTCCCCAGATCACGACAGTGTCAGGAGATGAGTTCCTCTTCCAGTCGGATATCGACTTTCTCATATTGGATTGGTTCCACGCTATCAAAAATGCGATTGACAGATTGGTATGTATTTGTTTTGGCTGTTACCTTTATTAATTAAGATGTAGCAATTTCAACTTCATTTGCTTAGGCGTCTCTACAGGTTTGAGGCAGTCAGCAGCTAGTTAGACATTCCTCTCTCTGAAGGAGATAAAAATATGTATGCAAATCTACTAAGAAATGTCAGATAAACAAGGTTGTTGAACAAAAATGTCATTTGATTCTTGCCTCGAAACGGAGCGCTACATTTATTTCTCTGAAATAACAAGGACATTGGTTTGCTGAGGGTTGTAAAAGCACGCAAGCACTTAATAACTAATGAATTTTTGCATTTTCTGTTTATGCAGCCTACAGTATATAATCTTCAATAGAACTATTAATACGTTTGAGCCTTTTATGAATTTTTCTATTACTTATTCACAAGAATAACGCTAGCAAATAATATTCCTTTGTAACTGATTGCTGTTATTCTCCCAGGAAGGCTGGGGGTTTTCTACTAGAAGTAAGAAGGGCTGCGTTTTATTAAAACAGTTTTTAATTACAAAACCAGATTCAGCTGTAGCTTTTTCTTTCTTTTTTGCCACTCTCGGTGCAAATTCTAAATGTCCCCCTCCTATCCCTGCCTGATCCAAAAGCATATTTTTTTAGAGAGCACTGACTTTCCTTGTTCACTGCAGAATCTGGCGAGAGAAAAATATCCCCATTTCTTGCATTTTTCAGAGGTTTTGCTGCGATGGAATTGGCAGAGGGGGCAGAGGCAGCCTCTTTGAAAGGGTTAACCTGCACACGGCTACTGTTCCCTTAAAGAGCTACAAACATATTACCCCGAGGCTATAATCAGCCAAGGAAAGTTTGATCTGATGATGTATGTCTTCATATTGTGCATTTCATTGGGTGTGTGAGGATGCTGATGCCCTACTGAAGATTTTGGGGTGGAGTTTTCCATGGACAACACTTCTTTTTCTTTTTTGTTTTTTTTTTTTCCCTTCCCTCCCCCCGCATGTTATTCAGCTAAACATCTAATAGACTTGATTAATTTTTGTAGCGGAACTCAGGTAATGCCGCGGCACCGGCAGCTCTGGGCGAGCAGCGAACCGCCGCCGCAGCGGGACGCGGTTCGGGTACCGCTCGCGGGGCAGGGCTTGTCCCGGCGGAGGTCCGACAGGATGCCACCACGAAGCGCTCGGTGACCGTCTCATACGTGTCATTTATTTCAGTTTTTACACCTTTGAATGAGTGTGTAAAGCCTTGCAGCTTTCCAGGCTGTCGGGACGGCTAAATCTCACCTGACCGCACGTCAGGGGGAGAGATATGTGGTTAAGCAAAAGATAATTTTCATCTTTCTTTCCTTTTTTCTTTTTCTTTTTTTTTTCTAAAGAACTGGGACCGTTAATCGTCCCTAATTGTCACTTTGTATGCCAGGGAATTAGAACAAGAGAGAAGTGCCCCCCTCTTTCCTAAGCTTAGACCAGCAGAATTCACCTCCAAATTTGTAAGGATGTTTGAAACAATTATGTTTGCAAGAATATTTACTGTAACTATCTAAACCAGAAAGGCAATTTAAACAACCTTCCTCTTTCCAATCATTGGAAGTAGCCTGCAATGTGGAAATAATTTTGGTCTCTAAAGCCTAAAGAAGTAGGCCTTTTGTTTTCCTCACTTAAACGGGAATTTATCTCAGAAATTAAGATCGGTCTGTCAGGGCCATAAAAGCTCTGCCATATGAGAAATTTTGCATTACACTTTCCTCAAATTATATACTCACTGCATCATTTGCTGTGTGTGTCTGTTAGCTTCTGATTCTGTACTGGCGTTTTGTAATCTCTTGCTTCATTCTTACAAACAATAATTTTATTAAAAGCATACACATATGTGTACATATATATATTCTTTCCCCAGCCAAAAGAAAGGAGCTGTACATCGAGAAATTTGGAGTTCAAACTCAGAAGATCCTCCAGCATCGAATTACTGAATAGCTTAGACACTGAATCCAAAGAACCAAAGCCTGAACACAGAAAATCTTTAAGTAAGGCTTTTTTATTTTCTGATTTGTTTCTTTTTTTTTTTTTTCTTTCCTGTTTAAATAACTATGCCATTACAGGGTAAGATAATTTTTATCACATACAGAATGTAAGGAAGATCGCTGAGAATCTTAAAGCTGAATGTGTTCTGTGCTGATATACATAACTTGCATTTAAGTAAAGACAGTTACTAGCTCCACACTGTTAAAGGGTGACATTCTCTCCTAAGCAAAATAAATTTGTTTAGGAGCAAGGACATTTATTCAAGCCATTTATTTTAAAAAATAAGCAACATGAGTCCTATGCTAATGGTCTGTTGCAGTTGCTTTGTTTCCATTTTAGTAAAATACCTCAAATTGCCAGAGTAATTTTGTCTGTTGTATGTTTATACACTGAATTGCTGAAAGACCTGACATATCCTCTGTAGCCGACAATCGGCGAAATATCCATAATTTTATAGAAGGTGAATTCCAGGGATCGAGGCTGAATTTTGCCAGTGTGATTAGAAAAGAAAGTGATCTAAAACTAGCAGGGATGTGCTTTACTCCACTGAGACTTTCCTTTTCCAGTTTGTGCTGAGATCCACTCGATGTTGTGGGCAGCAGGCGCTGGAGCTGGTGGTGACCCTGAATCACTCACTCAGCATTTTTTTAATGTCGTCCTCTCTCTTGAATCTTTTTTTTTCTTCTTTGTTTGGCAGGAGATTCCCATACTGCTTCTCATGTAAGCGCCGTGACCGCTTTAGACTCGCATGCCTACGCGAGTACCTATAGGTACTACAGTGCTGTGTAGGGATTTGCCTGCACCCGTGGCAGCGCAGGATCAAAGCCTTAGATGTTAAGACAAGACGTGCATTAGAAAGGCCCAACATAGCTACTTTTAATGACAATTATCCACGCAATCATAAGTATGTACACACACGCTTGTGCGCGTCCACGCACGAGTACAGAGATTCAGTAAACAGTCTCTTTTTGCAGACCAAAGCTTTTTGTTGTCGTTTTCCTGTTATCTTGGAGATTTGGGGTTTTTTAAAGTTTTTCTTTCTGCTATAAAATATAAAGTAGCCTGAATGTAGCTTGTGAAAAATTGTCCCAATATCTTTGTACTGTGTATTGCATTGCATTTCTCAGAGGAGGGAAAATAAGACTGAGAGCATGGTAAGTTTTGAGAGCCTGATTCTGCTCTTATTGTGGCTAATAGTAAAATGCCCATAAACCGTCTCAGCACTCAGGGAATTTTTATTTATTTATTTAGACTCCTCACATATCTTGAAATGATAATTTGTCAGACAAAAAAGAAAAAGTGAATATGAGCAGTGGCAGAGACTTAGCTTACGTTTCTTTTCAAACCTTAGAGAATCCGGAATAACCCTGGTTTTGTTCAAGGCTTTTTAAGCTCTTAAAAAATGTGAAAATATCTGCTGTGAAATCTCGCCGAACTGAAGCTTGCGTTTAAACACTGTAGATTGGATTGCTTCTAAAATATGTATTCAGAACTTTTTTTTGGCCCCTTGAGATCAAGCAATTATGTGGAATTAGAAAAAATCATATTATTCACTTACTTATTAGTAGTCTAAGCACAAACTGTATTGTCAGTTTTCTGCCTTTGGCTTTCTGTGCCCTTAATGTTCACACAAGTATCGTAGCCAGAATTATCGGCAGCTAGAGCCAAAATTGCTTTAAAAAGGCATGAGAACTGGTAATGACACATTGTTAGCAGTTAACAGGTGGTCGTTTCATTGTCCAGTTTGACTGCAGAGCTCAGGGAAGATATGTGCAATATCTGCAAGTGTGTTTGTAAAGTTCTTACAAAGTTTAACGATTTTATAATTTTACAGTGCTCGTATTATTGACTACTGCCAGTGCTAAATCCAAACAAAGGAGATTTTTTGAAGATGGCTTAAAACTCCTCCTGTTTAATATGGAGGATGAGCAACTGATGTGTTAGCAGGCCCCCGCCCTCCCAATAATCTTTCACGAAATTTTCAGACAGTTCAGGCTCATTTGTGTTTAGTTTCTCTACATTTTGCTGCGAAAAATGGCCGGTTTTGGATTTCGTACTGCTGGGTCACTGAGGTTTTTTAGCAGCACAAGTATTTAAAGGACAGGTATATACTAACCAAATTATTCCAGAAATTTGCTCTTTAATTTAAAACTGGGGAGACTGCCCCTAGAGACTTAGTAGCAGGAATTTGGTTTTTATGTTTAATCCTAATTGCTTCTTCTTACATGACAAGGACAAATGGTAATTCTCAGTTATGCTTTTTGAGCTGTAGACACTAATTTCGTTGAAGATTGGGCTCAAACTGCCAGGCTCAATTTCCAAAGTTCACAGAGTGTCTGTCTTCTTGGTCACGCAGCTTTTCAGTGGCTTCTCATCCAGTTTGGATTCAACTCATGTTCTAATTGAAGTTTTCTTGAGCTAAGAAGAAACCAGGGATGGTCTTGGGGAACATTACCAGGATATGTAAAACTGTGATCCTGCTCTTAAATACATGTAAAGAGATTACCCTTTGTTTTATGAGGCCGGCTATTTCACTGATGTAATTTATGCAGCTAATGTTCGGTCAGAAGGAATATGTTTTTCACCCTAGTGCCTTCCCTATTAGAAGATGCATACATTTGGTGCAAAGAAATGTCCTTGCAGCCCCACTCCTTTGTATGTAAGTAAGTGTTGTTCTAAACCGGTAATAATTTTTAAAATTCATGGCAGACTTCATAATTTCCAAGTAATTTTGTTATCTTTCAAACTGAAGGTTTTGGTTTTCTTCCTAAGGTGGCCAAAAAACCGTCCTAATTAGTACCAATTATAACTGGCTGTGCTGGTAGGTGGTCTGCCACGTTAATTTTATACCACATGGAACCAGGTACCTGGGTTAGACTCAGAGCAGAGATGCTGTCATGGCACTGGGAAGGCAGGGCTGTGCACTGCCAGGTTCCCAGAAATTGTTCAGCTCTCCAAAAACCAAGAGACCTTACATTGTGTAGGGCCTACAGGAGCAGTCAGGACAGTCATGTTGTAGGCAGTGAAGCCAACTCCACGCTCTCTACTAAGCTCAGCGTTGCTTTTTCCGCCCGTGGTCACTTCGCGGTTTGCAGTTTGGCCATCATCCGGGAATATCGGCACTCAGGAGTGACCTCTTGTGGAAAAGCGTGGGCTGGAGTCGCTATTGATTGTTGGAGGGGATCAATTCCCCTTCTACTCCCCCTTTTCTGGTTGGAAACAAACGGCTTCGTAGTAGGAAGAGTGCCCTTTGGCTACCGTATCAATCTGAGGGCTGCTCTTGTCAAAATGCACAATCACAAGCTTGATAATGCAATCCATTCCCAAAGCACTATATTTCCAACCTGTTCTCCATCATTTCCTTATGGCGTCACATTTACTCAGTTCATCACATTCTTATTAATATTTTAGGTTTCCTTGAAAGTGATGGAATTCTATTTTTATTACAAAAGCAACAAGAATAAATACTAATTGTTGTCAGTTATTTCCTTATGTAGTGGGAACAGTAATCTGTTCCTCAGCTTTAGGTTGCCAAAGCAAAATAATTAAATATTTTAGACATTTAAAAAATCTGTGATATTAGATAAATGCAATTTGATCTCCTTGTTTGCCACATAAAAGCTGGAACTGCCTGAATTGATAAGATTGAATTGCATTATTTTTATTGTTTCTACTCGCGTATTTTTCTTATCTTCAAGAACACTTTACTTAAAACCCGGTGGTTAGTCATGCAGCCCAGCAACGGATCCTGGAAAATCTCCTCTGTATTTGAATTCCAGCTTGAGGTGCCACAACTAGAGCATCAAGATTTTAAAAAAATATAAATATATATATATATCTGTGAAAAGACAAGTCTTGTTGGGCTGTACAGTGTTGTTGCTATTCGTGATCACTTTAGTGCCTCAATAAGAGTAGTGGGGGATGCGGGCGTCATTGTGCCAGACACAATGCGACACCGAAGTAAGACAATTCCAGCTCCCAGCCTGAATACGGACAAGTTGCAACAGGTGGAAAAAGCAGACGAAAGCGGAGGGGAAGGAAAAGTTGAGAGCAAAGCCAACATGTCATGCATATTAAACAGCAGGCTTGGGATTCCTTTCCGATCTTCGTTAGGATCGGGGTCTCAGCCCCAGCGCCCTGGCCACCGGCCAACTCCAATCATGATACTTTGCTTACCTAAATTCCTCCTGCACTGTCAAGAGAAACCACGGCCCTTCGTAGCCCCAAAGGGCCACGCGTTTGGCTCTGTGCCGCCGCTGCCCTCGCACGCGTCCCCGGGGCACGGCCGCAGGGCAGCGTCCGGGGATATGCCGCCTCGCGTCTTTTTAATCAAGAAAAAATTAATAACCTCTGGATCATAATTTTGATTTGCCTTCAGAGGTGTTTGCTACAAATTCATCTGGGCTCTGAAATCTGCTTTGGTTTCTTAAAAGACACAGCTGAAGTCAGGCAGCCTGTCCCTAGTGTTTCGCCCAGGACTGTGCGTGTGCTTTAAAATTGCCCAAAGTCGCTTTTCTCGTTTCACTCACTTTTCTTCACTTCAGAAGGCTAAGTTTTGAAACTCGAAGCGTGGCACGTAAATATTCCCAAGTAATTGCTAAAACCATCCAAAATAATCTCTGAATGCAGTTTGTTAGATAATTAAGACTGTACAATGTGTGTGTGTGGGGGAAACCAGCAGCAGAAACCCGTTTTGTTCTCTCAGTGGACGTGATGGAAGAGCTGGAGAAGTCAGAGAGCTTTAACCCTATCTGGCTCTGCATGGTGCTCGCTCCTTCCCTGGCTAAAGCTTCTTCCGAGGGCTCGCTCGAGGGTTTAAAGTTTGTCCCCGCACACGACTGGATATTTCTGCAGCTAACACCGCCTCGCCGAGGCTGTTGTTTCTCTGCAGAGGGAAGGGATGGTAACCGAGGCACAAACACACGTACTTACACGCCTTCAGCTGCGTAAGAGCAGGAGTTAAAAAAACCAGAAACTTATTTTGTTGAATTAGAGTTCCTAG